TCGTTGATGATTTGATGGGAAAGTCGATAGTCAGGTGACGAGTAATTTGTTCTGGGATTGTGAACTTTTTGGAGTATCCTCGTAAATTCTCTGTTTTGAAAGACAAGACAAATGAGGGCATATCAGGTGCAAATCATCACAAAGCAATTTGAAAACTGTAATCAATTCGCCTCTAGTTGTTCGATATGACAACAGGAATAGGTTTAGCTTGGCTAGTCGAATATCACACATGAGCTTCGCTATTCCGGAAATCAGCCTTTGACGGATATTGCACGGCAAAGTGCGTCAGTTTTTAGGTCTTTACTAACGATGACTCCTAAGTCACTGTGTGTCTGGATAACAGGTAGCTCAACGTTACTCATCGGGTATGTATCTGTACCTTGATGACCGATATGCATCACAATACACTTGGAAGTATTTATCGGCAACTGTCAAGTTTGAAACCATTCGGATAATTTATCCAGGCCATTTTGGAGTTCGAAACTATCACCTTTACTTTGTATCGCTCTCCATATCTTGACGTCGTCAGCACATAGCAAGGCCAAAGATGATAGGGAACGAAGGTCATTTACATACAAGAGGAATAACACTAGCCCCAAAACTGTACCTTGAGGCACTCCACTAAACGCAGTTTCCCAGCTAGACAACTTTGAGTTCACTCGCACTGTTTGTTGGCGCTCAACTAGGAAATCTCTTGTCCAAATTAATAGATTGCTTCCTACCACGGCATTTCTTAACTTATAAAACAGTCGGTTTTGAGGGACTTTGTCAAAACGTTTGTTGAAGTCAATGTAGACTAGGTCTATAAGTAATTTTCGATCTTTTCTAAATCGTTAACAACCACGCTGGTTAGATTAAAGGGTCGGTAGTTCTCAGATTTATGTTTAGTACCTATTTTGAAGACAGGACTATGGCATTCTTCTAGTGTTTTGGTGAACGATCCTGGGTTGCGGATAGATAACAGCATATACTTGAAGAGTTCGCGACAAAGTTAGATAATTTCTTTAGTAACTTAGAATGCAGTTTATTGGGCCACATGGATTTGCCTATATCAAGCTTATGTAGGAGACCAAATACACCGAGTTCTTTAATGGTCACGCTGTCCAGTGTTTGTGTGGGGGGATTTGTAATGAATGACATGAAGGGTGTTTCTATGGTACGTACATTGCTAAAGTAGTCTGAGAATACTTAAGCCTTACCAAAGTCGTCCTCCACTAATGACGAAGCCTTATTACCTTCCTATAATGCAGGAATATTTCCTCTTCTTGTCATTTGGCTTATATACGAATACAAGCGGTTAGGACATTCTATGGATCCCTAAACAATTTTCTCTTCGTACAATCTTCAAGACTTACGGAGGGTTGAGGCACAGGTATTCCGAGCTTAATGCTGGGGTTTTGTCTCAATAGTTCTCAGTAACATAAATCTACGACACATTTTTCTCCTCTTACGGAGAAGGGTGCGAACCTCCCTACTGAACCATGGTGGGGAGTTTTTCGGCCCCCTTGATGTAGTCCAAGGAATGTGGGGTGCGTTAGCTTTTAGGTATAAATTTCGAAAACGTCCCAAGCCTTTTTGATCGAGGGCTCTGTCTCTCTTGTCCAATCTACTGACGATGCTAAGTGCATGATATTTTGTATGTTTGCTTTTCAAACGTCAGGTCTGGATTGAGCCGACGCGTGCTCGTGATTGACAATTATATAGAAGTCAAAGGTTAAAACTGCATGATCACTTTAACCTAGGGGTGGGATGTAATCGAGGTTAGTACCGTCATCTTCATAATGAGTCAGTACAAGAAATAGTAAGGATGATTCAGATTCCAGGTCGTACCTAGTCGCTTCACATGTTACACTAGGGCACATGTGATAACCTCATCAACTAGTTCCTGCTCGAAGGAATTATCTGACAATTCAGTTCGCAGATTTTCCCAGTCTACCATAGACGCATTAAAGTCCTCTAGGATTAGACATCGACCACTTTGTGACCAAGTATTGACATTGCTAAGCAAGACCTCATTTACATCACAGCTTGGATTGCGATAGACTAAACCAATCGGTAGCTGTTGTCCCTCGCATTTCAAGAGGCAACTAACCAATTCACAAGTCTCACTCATGGGATACACTGTCGATAATGGCAAATGGAATAGCGTTCCTAATGCATAGAGCTACTCCTCTTTTACGCTTCTATATTCCGTCGGTTCATACTAAAGTAAAACCCTCGAAATCAAGTTCCATACTATCTATAGACTGTGACAGTCAGGTTTCCGTGACTGCGACTATGTCTGGCTTTGTAGAGTCAATCTGTACACCTAGTTCCGATCGCTTATTGAGAAGGCTTCAGATATAAGTGAAACAGATCCGAAGCCCATTTAAGTGGCCTCGAGCTGCACCCAGAGTGGCTTCGGCATCATCTTCTATCGAAGCCTCACAACCCGAAAATTTAGAATTTTTAGGTCTTTTCGCCAGCGTTTAACCAAAGTTGTAGTTCTTTTTTGGCTTCTCGTCTTTTTTCACGGTCTGCCAATGGAAATTCCTTACGGACAAAAACCCCTAAACCCTTTAATTTATGTCGATTTTGTAAAATTAAGCCCCGTTCATTTGCCGATTTTAATGCTACATGAAGCAGCCTGGTTAGAGTAGGTTTTAAATTCACTTGACTACCTAGTCTATACACCTTTAACAAGGTGACTCCGTAGATATTTTCAGGCTTAAGTTGACTTGGAAGCTGTTTTGTGAGCCCAAAGTCATGCTCAATTGGAGATTTCTGTTCAAAGCTTTTACTCTCCTTGATTCTATGAAAAATAACTGACCTGTCACTGTGATCGGTCCTTGATTTCCCGACTACTTTTTTTTGGGGGGGGGAGATTCTCTTTCATATCGTTATGTTGTTTCTTCCTACAACCTGTACCCACTCGTCAACGTTGCTTGGAGTAGCAAATATAGTCGCGTCAAATATATCGTGGGATTCGGCAGGGTTATCGACAACTCAGGAGTCAGGTTATGGTTCCCGTTAGAAACCGATCGAGCCTTGCTATTGCCGTTCCTAAGCGTCTCCTGCTGGATGCCATTTAGAGTACGGGGGACAGAGAAAAATTCCTTTTTGAGTTTTTATTCAAGAAAGACCTCTTTGAAGACTATCTTTCCTCCTTTGATCGATATGGGTCAGCAATCTCCGAGCTCACCTGAATTGATTCACATCAATTTGTGTGTTGACAGAGCGAGTGCTGTCCGACCTGCCCCGACCGCGCTTGCTAAAACACTTTTTTGCAGCAATGAGATTACCTAGGTTAGCAAGCTGTTTGCGTCCGAACAACACTGCTGAAAAGTCTATACGCAACCGTTTTTACCGAACCGTTTATAAGCCGCAGGCGTTAAATTCGTGCAAACTCCGTGGTACTAGCCTTTGCACTCATCGCACTGCATGCCGCTTTCAATGGATATCGACAGCTCGGACGTTGGCAATTGTTAATTTGCATTGCCCAGTCATCAAACAGAGATCCTGTTTCTAAAAAAAGTAGATACAATAGCACCCAGAAACAAAAATGATCTATGACCAAAAAATAGAAAACTGTAAAATGTTAGGACCAAAAGTACTAACAAATACAATAGAAAACAAAGTACTCAAAAGTACCGACAACAAACTACTTCAAAACATTAATGATACTCGAATCGAATACTTTAACTGAACTAAATTCAATCAAAGTGCAAACAGTAGCCTTGATATGTAATAAACAATCAATACAATAAAATTTACACAGCGAGGAAAAATACCACTTGTAGCACGTACTATTAGCGTTGATCTGCGAGCAGGAGCGATCTGAAGCACAACACAACAGTCAGAACCGACAGATGCCACTCAAGTGAGAACACGGCCTACGAGCACAACATAGATATATTTCAAAATTGAATTGCGCGGTTTAAGTACAAAAACGGGAAGTCTATTACAAAATGGTTTTACTCATTATCCCGCAGGTTTAACTTGCGCAAGGCTTGTTCTTCTTCTTCTAGTACGTTCACTTTCTGTTGCCCTGAAACAAGAAAAACAAACTTGCATTAGTAAAGTCACACGTAATGATTTTTGATATTGCTACACACTGCCCTTTTAAATACCGCGCGTGTCGTTGTATTGAATAATTTGAAAGCCGTTTAAAATGTATCAAAAGCAACTTTAAAGAAACATATGCATAAGATTCAACTTAGCACAATAAACCTCAAAATGACTGAAAGTTTTCTGCTTCGTTTCTTGAAGACGGAGTGTCACACACACCACTTGAAGTTGCCTTATTAATGCTGTGGTGGACCAGACAATATATAAACGCAAAAAGTATCAACAAAGTTAATAAAGATCAATGGAAATGTTAATATAAGTTAATTATTACAAATACAATAGAAAGTTGGGACTTAACTTAACTTCACCAAATTGATGCGTGTTCGGCTTTGGTCTGGTACTAAGAAACCACAATTATAAATACTTGGCAATTCCAATCTGGTTGACGAACTCTCCGGTGATATAATCCAACGTAGGATGTGTTATATTACAATTACAGTCTATAAACGTAGATATTATTTGATTTAGACTTCAGTTAACTCAATCACAAAATGAGATAGAACGAAGGATGTGTGAGTAGTAGTGTATTTGTTAGCCAGCAAGAGCATGTCACGCTGTATGACAACGCTAAATGTGTTCAAGGTCATTTACTAAAACAACAGGTACAATTATTTAATGATTAAAAATATACAGACAGTGAAAGATTGACAAAATACAAATAATATTAAAAAACTATTTACAAAATAAGCTTGTCAGACCCAACTCACAATGCTTCGTTGGACACCAAACACGACCTTTTTAATGTTATTTTAGATTTATTTCGCCGTAAATAACCTAACGTCTAACTGGTATTATTTCTAAATACTACTGCATCTGATCAAACATCAGGGTATACTTTAGTAGTGTTTGTTTGTACCAGTCATCAGTGAGCGAGATTTGGTCTTTCCCCGAAGATGGCGTCCTCCTCCTCAGCTGAGGGCATGTCCATCACTAAGGGAGGAAGTATATTAGTAAAAGTTGAAGATCTGACTGGAGAATTGATTTCTGTCAAGCTTATAGATGGGGATAAAATTTTTCGTGGAATTTTACTGCAAGAAACTATTGGGTAGGGTTGTTTGAACAGTTTTTCGAAACATACTATTTATTGTCCCTCTCAAGATTAACTGAAGCTTATGAAAGTTGATATTGTACAATACTTCTCAATTTTCTGCTGCTTTTTAAACACCGATACAAGCTAAAGATCTGGCTGGATACACTTAATAGTTCAATTTCGAAGTTTACATGAGTCACATGCCTAGTTTCTGTTTTCACATATTCTCTGACTTTGGGAAAACGCCCTATAGTTAGCCTTATTGTAGCTGCTCGAGATTCACATTTTCACAGCATTGATGTTATACAGTCATTCTTAATGGTACTCATCGGAATGCTTATTTGTTTCACTCATATAGTCAGCTAAAGATCAGATTTCAAGAAGTTCCCTTGTCAGTTAGTCTCGTGAAGATGAGTCACTCGCTTACCGCTATACAACGTTCTTTCTGACTTCCATTTAAACCTATAATAAAGCGTCGGGTGTGAGTTTTCTTATCACCATAATGCTTATATATTAAAATGATTGTTATTGATGAAGTGCTCACTGCGCTAAGTATATTCTGTTTGCCGTCTTACAGTCTGATGAAGTCTTGTTTCTGTCGAAATGGTTGCTCAGCAATATTTTCTTACGTTTACATTATCTATTTAATGTTTTGGTTGGTCCAGACAACCACTTCAAACTTAGTAGGTTTAAATACACACTCCTCGAAATTCTTAGTGATGTATGGTAGGATGCCTGAGAAAAATAAAAAGGACACTAAAGTATGGCATTGGTTTTTATCCGTATAGGGGGTATGTTAATAGGGCAAATGGTACTCAAGTAATACAGTTCGCTCTTAATCAGCTTGTCTTGATAGTTTCATCCCACTGTGCTGATACGGTCTGGTGACTAATGCATGTGTGTGCCAGGGCCTACGCTGCCCGTGATTGATTAACTATCAGGTCTTAAGTCTTAAATCTGCTGTTATTTTTCTAATCATATCGCTCAGTGCCTCCAATTTTCACTGTTTGATGCGTGTTGTACAAGCTTGTGCTTGTCTGCTAAGTTTTATTAGTCTGATTTAATAAGGTGATATACGACAAATCAATTGGTAGATTATGTAACCGTCTAACTACTAGTTTAGTATTGTTCACATCTGAAGTGGAAACGTCTTGTCAATTAATCGGTTCACATTTTAGTCTCTACGTAGACCGGTGTTAAAACCTATTGTGGATAGTAGTATTAGTAGTTGTAATACTTCCACAACTGTTTTCTCTTTATACTTTCAGGATGTATAAAAGAGAAAAGTTGTGCGTATTATTCCTTGTCCTCTTTCACTTAGCTTTTGATTATCATGGGGGGGGTGGCTTAGTGATTAAAACCAACTCTTAGCCTTTCCCAGGTTCAGATCTCGCTTCAACTACTTCGGTCTGGGCAACCGTGGAGTATCACTAGTCCCCACGTTTAGGATGTGACTCATGCCTTTGTACCTGGTAAATAAGTTAATTTTAATTAACTATTCTTTTACCATTTGGTTGTTGGTTGCTCTCCTACACTATATGTAATTGCTACTTTTATATTCTGCTGCTTTTGTCAACCTAAGTTAGTTCCCACCTTTTAATCAATAAAGAGGTAAATCGGATCGGCTGTTTGCTGATTAATGTCTAGCTATCACATTAGGTGACTTCATTGAGGGCTGTACCATGACATGGAGTTGCCTTAATTTTCTCAGCCGCTCACTCTGTCCTGTAGTTTACCACGCATGTTAGGATTATAAAAAGTCGAAGGAAAATGATAATTCCATTAAAGAAACAACTGTGCGGCAAAAAACTTTCTAAAAAGTACTGCCTTTATGGTAATTTCCATATCTTATGTGTTTTTTCTAAATCAATTGTTAAATAACGTAGCTCAAGTTATCAAAGGACATTTTGTCGTACACAACACATTTGTCGAGTGGTTGAAGTACCTAGTACGCCTCCTTACCATCAACGTATCAATAAAAACACTCTTATTACCGCATATTTCAAGTATGTAGTAGCTTGAATATAATTGATTGTAATTCGAGAAATTTTGTTATTGTAACGAGCCTATATATATATATATATATATATATATATATATATATATATATGATTAGCAATATAGACCATGATGCGTGTATCAGCTCAAGTTGCCACACTATATCATCACAACAAGGGGATATTATCAAGACGAATGCTGCTGTAGTATAAATTGTAGCAATGTCAGTAGTAGTAACAAAAACTAGGCATGATAAAGAAAAAAATTCGTGGACTAAAAGTGGGTATTTTAAGGTAAAAAGACTGAGTGTGTCTGTGCTAATTACCAGCCATTTCATCCACCACGTATTTTCCGAACTCTGCTAAATAAATATTGGTCTTCTGTTATGTGAGAAAAAGTAGTTCTGATTTCTTGAACACTTTACCGTTGCTTTTATTCAAGTAATATTGGGTATATTAACACTTCTTTCACTGTTAGATTTTGAGAATAAATATGTATTTAACTCGGGTTTGTATCATTTTGCCTTATTTACCTTTTAGTTATCATGTTGTAGGTATTATAATAGCATAGAAATGTCCTATGAAAGTCGTAAGACATCTTAGGTATGTAAAATTTTAATCTAATCACTACCATTATCCATATTTTAGAAATGATAGTACGATGAGTTAATCTACTTTGGTAATATTTATTCTCACTATATAACTTTTTCGTATCAAGGATAGGTTTGTGTACGTCGTTTTGAACCCCAATTTATCTTGAGAGTTAGAGATGCAACTCGACTAATTAAACTGAACTAAATAGAACAGGATTTGTACGTAGGAGTAGTTGGTTGAAAGTCAGTTCACTTTCGTGATTAATCCATCTCTCCAAGATAATTTCAAAAGCCTTATGTTATTCGAAGACACCAATGAGTATATTTGGTAAGAATATAGAAGTTTTAGAGTAGAAATACGAAAATAACCAGTTCACAATCATTCTACAACATCGTAATCAAACGAAGGGTGAATAAAACTAACATTGGTGATTAATTAAGTGATACCCGACGTCATGTTTGTCTAGTCTTTAGTGTTTATCGATCAAGTTACAATGTGGTTACTATTCTGAGTAATTCGATGTCATATGCACTATGCTTTGATATTAAGTGGGTACTTGTGCTTCTTACCAATGACTTACAACTAATTACCTGATTCTTTTACATCACCCTATTCTCGATTTGTGTAGGTCTTTTTAATTCACCACTTCTTGTAATAGCGTTTATTTAGTCTAAATATGTACCTTTCTAGAGTAGCTGCAAAATTCAAACAATTCTGCTGGATGAAATCAACGAGGAAAATAAAGGATAAGCACTTAATAGTACTAACAAAGAAAGTAAAGTAAGACTTGAGAATCAAAGAGTATAGCACAATAAGGTTTCCGAAATTTGCAAAAAAGTGATAGTCACACTTATTTGCCCACCAATATTGATTTTAAGTTGTTTCGTCTTGTATCCGATCAATAACTATTTCGTGGACCTGGTAATTACTATATGTATTTATTGATGTGATCAAAAGGTTTATAAATTGGTTTGATTGTTTTTCTGCTACCACTAATTAATATGAGATTCTATATACAGGAGTATACAGTATAGTATATATTGTCTCTGCGACTGAAAGTATTGCTACAAATTCAGTCTGTTGTGTTGCATTGGTCAGCGAGAATAATCCTAAAGTTGATGTCCCACTTTTTTTTCCCAAGAACCTTTTGCTAGGCGTTGACTCTACATTCCATCCCCTACTGTTCAGTTCAATTCATAACTGACAATTCTGTGTTAAATAAAAAGTCGACTACAATTATGGTCTAATCTTATTTCTGTCAATCATTTCAAAACATTGGTCGATTTCAAATCAACTTGAGCAAATATGATTCATATTCAATAAACCTCCCCTTTCATTGTACTGACCGTGTATATTTTCTTGAAGGTCGAATTTATTTCCGTTAAGATAAATTCCATTTAATCCTGCTATTAGATTGGAGGAAATTGTCACTCCAGTTTACTCTTGATGTATCTTCTAGTCTTGACACAGTTTTTGTAAGTATTCCATATATAATGATTTAAAAAGATGTTGACTTCCTGAATCTTCATACGATATTTTTGCTAAAACTAGTGCTTATCATGACCAGTTTATTCACCAATCTGTATTAGATAAGCCATGTACTTCAATAATCTGTTAAGTCTTTATGATAATATGAATATACTGATTTATTTTGTTTCTGGAAATGATTAAATTAGTTAAATTTATTGTTCCCTTAGTACTATGGAGATCCAGCTTTAAATGGATGTGGCTTACAGTTTAAAATGCATGAACAAAACCGTGGCGACTACTTTTTGTAGGTTTGAGCCATATCAGTGGGTGTAGAGTGCCTGGTAGGGGTCTAGGCCATTGTCGTAACGATCGATTAGATACTTTGGATGTCATGGTTCGAAATCGCTCGCAATAGTAGAGTTGCATCCACTTCTCGTCTTTTTCTAGAACCTGAGTCCTGAAGTCTCCATGTACCTTTCTTTTTTTACTACTGGTGTTGCTACTACCTTTACTATGTCTTTAATTTTCTTTCTGCGCTAATGTCGCAACGCAACTTAAATGAAAAAAACATGCATCATGTTCTACGTTGGGTATGATAATGATTTGCAGGTCTTTCAATATTTTCTTGCTTATTATCCTTCTGACTATTAATAGTAATGTATTTAAATATTAACTCTTTTACTTATCCAGAGATAAATTAGTTGTGTTAAGGACTGTAACCTGAAGCTAATGATCATGTCCCATCTTTCTATGTCTATGGTGGCGTTGGTGCATAAGGCTGTGTTTATGTATCATGTTAGTCCATCGAACATTTAAGAAGAGAGCACTTTTTATGGTACCCAGTGGTAAGTTTGTGTTCTAAAAAATGCGTAAAATACTGCGAACTTACTCAAATGGATTTATTTGAAGTACATTTTAATACATACAACTAAGTTATGAACTGTCCAAAGCATCAAACAACAGAACCATCGATAAAAGATGTCTTAATTTTTGCACGTTTGGATGTTTAACATTAGTCGTAGAAATGTTTATTGTTTACCTGTTTTGCAATTGAATATCTGGTATCCTGCCTTCGAACTACTTGTTTTTACCACTATTTTCCCATATGCATATTTGACTTGGTTTGTTATTTTCACGCTATCTGGTTAAAGGTGGATCTGGAATGTTTAGGCCGCTAATTATTTTGCTACCTTATTTGGATCCTGTGACAAGAGATTAAGATACACTATTGGGAATCACTCACTAACAATTCTGCATGACTTTCGCTGGATATCAGGATGATCTTAATGAGTTACAGCTCGTGTTGGTTTCTGTTTTTTCTACCTTATAGTTTCACTTCTGGCCAGTAATCTTGCCTCAGTTGCTGAGTAAACGGTAATAATAAGATCAGTAACTTCTTCATGTACTAATTTAATAGCATGGTGGGTTATTAGTTTTTCTCCAACAATAGTTTAAATAGTGTATGATGATTGATAAAGGCTAACCATTCATAACAAGTTCCAACCACTTTAGTCGGTGAATGTTTACAGTGGGACTTGCCACCTTCCTTAGCATTCCTCATTAACTTCTACCCGGTTGCCCCATCGTACATCAGTAATACTTCACTCTTAAAACGTGCGTCATCCACATAAATGCAATTCTGGTTACATTATATACCCATGAATTATTACCACTGAGCAGCACTACATTCAAACTTTGATATGCAGTTAAACGTGTCACCTACACTGTAATTAATAATAAGTAAACTAAGTAATATTACGTTTCGTTTCCTCTTTTCCATTTATCACATTGTCCTCGCTTATATGCAGCTAGCTGTCAGTAAAATGTACTACCTACCTTTTTTGTTTCACGTTTTTATCATTAAAACAAATTAATATTCAACTTATAGATTTTGCTTGGTAAATAATACTACTACTTCTCTTCATGGGTCCCTAGATTCAACGTCATGATTATTTGTATATAGGCGAGCCCATGTAATATATTACATCACTCAAAATGGGAATTTTTTAAAGTATATCATTTAGGAATAGGACAGTCTATCATCGCCCAAGAAGATTTTACACTGTAAATTCATCTTCGTCATCATTAGTTCCTTTTTGCATCTAAAGTTTTTAATTGACTCTATTTTAGTCTTATGTAAAACAGTAGTTTCTTGATTGGTAGTTTTGACTCAGTCAGCCTTTGTCGTCCGACCATGTGTATGTTATCTCATGCTTCCACTTCTAGTTATAGCTCAATATTTCATATAAATTTGAGTGTTTTCTTGATATTGAGTCTGTATTCAAAGAAATGGCTTTTTTTTACAAAGTAAAGTAGTTGATAAAATAAACATTTTACTTGTGTTCGGTAGGTGTTTTGATTGCGACATAAAGTGATGTTGGCGATGAATTGTGTGTGTGTATATAAGAATTTTGCACGTAAGGTTTCACTTTAAAGAAAATCAAATTCATAGAATCTTTCACTAGTATTTTTTAGATGAACAGTAAAATGAGTTTCTCGTTAGAAATGCAAAATTAGCTTAATAGATAAGATTAGAATCAGTTGTCACTGGAATTGATTATTCACACTCCTAGCCCATGAGACAAACGATGTTTCAAATGAAAAAGCTCCTTAAGTAATAGAAGTAAGGTTAAAGAAATACACACGAATATGTACGGTCTTGTAAATGTTAGAAATCACGACAGTAATCTAATGCCAATAATCGTATTGCTCTTACCAGTAGGAAAAGTCGAGAAATTATTGCACACTGTAAACACGAATCAATGTGACAACTAAGTGCTTAGTGTGTTGTTTGGTCTCAATTACACTATACTGAAACTTGTGATGGATACTAGTGACTAACCATATTTTATTCAGTGAAGCTTCAAAATGCACGATATTCTTGTTATCGTACACATTATTGTTTACAAAATGAAATTCTCAAAATTTAAATAAATTGACTTAAGCTAAAATTCGGTGTTTTTTTTGTAGGAAATTCAATGAATATGGGACAAATTTAGAAAGAATAACTAGTGCACCATTTTGGCCTCCTTTAAGTGGAACAGCATCAGGATAAACCTCAAAACTATTCCTTGTTCAACTGAACGTTATTCCTACAAATTGGAAGGCCAACCCTCAAATTTAAATGTCTTCCAGCCTGATCCAACAAAACGAAGTCATCGAAACCAACCAGCTCCGCAATTGTCACGAATATTACGACCTCGGCGATTTGTTTGTAGGAAATGTAAAAAAGCATTTCATTTAGAAGAACATGGTACGGAACTTTCCTCTTCCTTCCTCACTGATCAGACAGATCGTCGCACTTCGGATTCATCTGCCCTAAATTCAGACAACGAAATAAATCATTATCTTCCTAAAAGCAACTTTTCTGACCAAATTACACTAGCGACACTCAATGGAAATTCTCAGTCTATTCGCCACGTCACTCCACCAATCATCCCCAAACTAAATGAAGAAATGAAGATAAATGTGGATGATTCGTCAAAATCAGAAATTGATTCTAGTTCTGATATACGCTCAAAATCTAAAAAGCATTTTATTTCTGAACAGTCGACTAAAACTCCAGAATCGTTAGAACCGAAATTAGTCATGTCGAAGAAGCGGAAAGTCGATGTTATTCCCGATAAGCAAAAGCTGAAGAAGATCAGACTAAGTTCTCAGAAACTCACTGAACCATTAATGTTAGTAATACAGTCCTGGTCGCAACACCACCTGTCGTTAATCCGGATTCATCTGACCCTGCAGTACCTTCATCGGAGGAAAACAAAGATTTCCCTACTTCTCCAATCCTAGTCGGCAAGACAGATTCTGTTGATTCTCTTTCGTCTCAGGAACAAACTCGTAAGAATCGAATCAAAGCTCAATACGTATCTGTCACCTCTCCATTTCGTTATCCGTTTGGAAAAAAAACTAGAATCTCTTCCAAACAAGAAATTGGAAATATCAACTCGATTAGTGATAGCAGATAAAAGTTGAATCAAACGCTACTCGCAAAGGTTCTGAAAAATCAGAAATAATTTCATTAACATCTTCAAAAACGAATCTTGGGTACGAAAAAACTCTCGCTACCGTACTCGTACTCAGCTGAACCCACTTTCTGTCACTTTGGATTCACTGGGTCCTTCTTGTTCTGTAAAAGATTTAGAAAGTCGTTCAGAAGTGGATGAAATTCTACCTAGTGATTCTCTTGATGGTGATTTTCCACAAAAAGAAAATATCCCAAATAGTATAAGCCCACACCTGTCAAGTCCATCTAAGGAGAAGCATTCTGCTTCCGTACAGTTAACTTGTAAAACATCTACGTATGGACACAATTCTGCCTCAAACAATTTTGGGGTTTCTATGAGTGAGAGTAATTTCTCTCCACAAAGTCGACGTAAAGCTTTTGATTACGAAAAACCAAAAAACAGATGGATGCGTGAGGCACGAGCTAGAAGGTGTCAAGATGAACGAAACAGTAATCCTAGTTCCACTGCAGCAAGTCATATTTCAACTTCATCCAATAATACAGATACGGAAAGCTCTGCATCATGTAATGCACAATCTCCTAGTTTAAACCGACTGCGAATTCGGTCAGGTGATGGATCTAGTTTTAGTCCTAGCGAAAGTACTTTAAAAAGTAATAGCAATGTATCTTCTAAAGTTAAGTTGCATAATGGGTCGTTAAACAATCGTAACATTGAATCAGGAGACGCTTCACAGTCCGAGAAATATTTGGACATAACTGACCAAAAGTCTACATCTCATGTGTCTCCATGCTTGACCCCGACAAGTGATAGTTCTGGTCTTGCCCTTCCTGTAATAAAGATTAAAATTAATCGGAATAGACAACCTTCTGGGTGTTCGAAAACTGTACCGACGCAATATGAAGTTGTCAAGTTACAGACTGGTTCACATCTAGAATTAGCTACTTCGGCTTCTAAAGTTGTGAGTGAAGAAAATAGTTCAATAGCGAATGCGAATCCATCTGCTTTGAAGTTGGACATTACTTGCAATGGTTTACGTTCACCATCACTGTCACCATCCGCCAGTTCTTCAAAGAAGGGATCTACATGCGAGAGTTTAATAATATCAGGTCCTTTAGTAAAACGCTGTAAGTTACATGACGGCATTGTTTTTCGTGTCGGTGACCTAGTTTGGAGCAAACTTTCAGGATGGCCTTACTGGCCTGCACAGATTACTAGCATACAACGTGTTGCCAATGAAGTTGATTTACCGAATTCTGAACAAGTACGCCCCGTCGTGGATTTCCAAGAACAGTCATCTCCACTTTTAACATCAGAGCAGGTTTGTTATACTGCCTGTCTTCATTGGTTTGCTTGGAATCAGGTGTCATACATGCCATGTGATAAATTATTTCATTTCCTAGAACATTGTAAACGATTTGATAACAAAAAGAAACGTGGAGTTTTTCGCCAGGCAGTTAATGAAGCAAAACAAGCGGCAGAAAAAAGGCAAGAAACTCACTCTACTGATAGTGAAAGTGAATGGGATCACGAAGTTTTTAGCAGTACAATACATCAACAATCTTTATCTCAGCCATCTGAAATATCTGTTCTCGATGATGCCAAACAGTTGGTCTCACAAACTGCATCATCAATATCCATTCCCGACATAAACCTTGGTGTAGAAGTGAACGCGACCACAAAGCAAAGTAAACATCTAAATAACAAAGTAAGAAACAAAACCAAAGTCTCTTGTGAGAAACAAGAACCTTCGATGTTATGTCCATCAGTTGTTGATTCTTCGAATGTATCCTTAGGTCAAAGTACCTATAATAACATAGGCGGGGAAGTCACTGCGTCTACAGAATCAAAATTACATGTGATATCTAAACGTAGATCAAAGCAGCAGGCTAAAAATAAGGTTTATGCTAATACTTCTGAAGATAAAAAGTTGTTGGTAGAAGCGTACAATTCTTCTTTAACAAATAATAAATCTAATGTTCGTCTAAAAATCATTCTTTCGAAACCGAAATTGAAAAGTAAGCTCAAGTGTGCTGAAGTTCTGAGCAATAATGCACAAAATTCTTTTGAAAATGAAGTTAACATTTCTTCTTCATTACCGAATCTAGATGTCCCAATTACTAATAACAAAATACATCAAATTGTTGAAAATTCATCAAAAGAAGACACAGAAAGTCCATTTACTTCCGAGATTATTCCTGAATCAAATATATCAACTACCGATTCACAAGACTTTGATAAAACATTTAGTGCTACACATTCAGAACTCCTAACTCAATTCCCACATGTATTTCCGGATCTCAAAGTTTCAGGTATTCTATCCGACACAGTCGATATACCTACATTTTCTGAGGATGAATCTGAAGAAGAAGATGCTGGTCGTTTGATTATTGATCCTGATGTAATGGCTTCAGTCAACGTTCCCTTATCAACTGGTAATCATCATTACATCACCGAGACTTTAAAACAGGATCCGGATGTTCTTCGAGAAGATTTATACAGTCTTTCCTCGGATAATATGTCCTACAACCATAAACTATCATCTCAATCATTTGATAGTATTCATCCATACTCTCGAACGTCTTCAACTACTCTTACACAACCATCGATGTCGAATTTTGGTAATCCAGTTTACTCATCATCCGATTCATTTACACATTCTTTTAATTCCTCAACATATTCAATGGAATGTCTAATATCTCAACCAGTTTCAGTTTATCCAACACATAATCAGTCATTGATCCAAACTGTTGTGCCAAGATTAACAACTCCACCTATTTTGGCGTCATCTGTATCGAACCTATCAGTACCCAGCAGAAGTGCTTATTTTCAATCTAACCATCTTAATGTTCCATCAACTACAACGCATAACGTGTCCTATGTTACTACTGAGTACTCAACATTATAACTGTAAGTTAACTATTTGCTTACTTGCTTGGCACTATTCCATTGACTTCTTATTTTCGTATTTCTGTGCTTATCAACATCACTATACTTACTTTGTATTTCTAAACAGCTTGAAACTTTTAAGGTTATTATTGACTTTAAGGCGACATTCGATTCGATTGACTGACAGGCTTTTCGAAAGTTTTTGTTTTTACAATCTGTACCAAAGACGTACACAAGCATTGTGAATGCTTTTTGCTCAAATACTGTTACTTGAGTCAAAGCCTGTGACGATTGTTACCAGATTTTGAAACATCAACTGTTTTTCGTTAGGGCTGCCAATTTTACCCATTCCCACTTTACCTTGTTCTAGTCATTCTTTCAGAGATAACACTCGTCTTACTTTTCAGGAACTGACCTCCTGTCAGGTGATTTTATGGAGATGGTCGAATTGCAGGGTTTTCTGATCACCGTGTATTTTATGACGTGCTTCTTCCTCTTAAAAGGCAAAACATACCTTCATGACTATCTGTGGTAACATCTGAATCAATGGTAAGATTCATGTAGTTGAGTTTGTTGACCTCTTCACTTATCTTGAAAGTCTTGTCAGCCCTTGTGAATTGGTGTTTGATAATATCTTCGCGTGGACTCAGATAGCTGACTTTGACTTTGTAAACTTTCACCAATCATAACGTACTCGAGATGTCTGTACGCCAATTAAAGGACAATTATGCTGTATAACAGTTCTCTCTATTATACTTTATGACCGTAAAACGCAGTTATCGGAAGTAGAGAATATTTGTAGATTATCACTATAAATCAACTCTGTTCAAATTCTTATATCTGTGCTGGTATTTTATTAAAGCATTGGTCAATACAAATTTGTACCAGTTGAATCAATTTTGATTAACCAACCATATATATTAGCAAACGTTGTACAGTTTAAGTAAATGATTTCGTCGAAAAGAAAATTTTCTTCGTTTTGTAATGTTTTGATTGTTTTGACAAGGGAATGTTATTTGTAGATAAAAGTCAGATGCTGTTATTTCAATATTCTATGTGTGATACTCAAAAAGAGCTCTAAATTGTAGAATCTCTTCTGTTCGGTATGATCCGTGTTTATATTTTATCAAATTGTTGTCGTGTATTTAAAGTACCATATATTAAAATTGGTATGATTGAAATTATTCATGTGTGTATCCAATCTTATACTCTTGTCTCATGAGCTACCTTTCCAATTCGGTATGTTTGTAATCTTTTTCTGAAATCTGTCAGTAATTTTATACTGTCAACTCCCAAGTTAATCACGAAATGTGAAGTGATCACACTATCAATCTATCCAATTACGGTGTTCCTCTCTTTACCCGATACTATGTGTTTGGTGGGATTCGTGTATAGAATTGATTCCTATTTCCAAATAAGTCACAAAACCCCTATTATTCAACGGTAAAATCTCTAATTAGTACCTGGAACTACTTAACAAGCTTTATGATTTTTTCACCATTTTAGATACATCTCATCAACTGACATCACCCAATAATTAAAATGGAATCTACGATTCACTTCTAGCTGTTACTTGAAATGATTCAGTACAAATCAATGTAAAATATGGTTGAAATTTTCATCATAGATTTATGTGCTTAACTAGTATTTCCAAATATTATTTCCTTTTTACTGTATATCTCCCTTTCAAAATCTCTTCAGTATGAGTTAATTATTTTTTCTTTTAACATTTGGATTTAATTAATCCCTCCCTGTGATGATGATCTTGGCGTTTAACATTAGTCAGCACTGATTTTTTCTCTTACTATTATTTCTTTGGGACAATAAATGAAAACCATTATTAGACTTTCGCCCAGACAACATTTAACAAAAGCATCTGTGAAATGATGATATAATACCTCTTGTTTATTCTTTTGTATATTTTATATATATATTTATCTCAACGCCTCTCCTCCGCTCTTTCTTCCTTGCTTGTGATTTGTGATGTTTCTGAACACCATGTGTACATATATACATATTTATCCAATAGTTAACATTGCTTTAAATTATCTCCTGTTACCGTTATTTTCTAAAATCATTGTAAATTATTAACTTCCTTGCTTAAGGTTCTGGGTGTGTGTGCATAACCCCTTAGGATTCGTGAGTTTACTTAAAATAATGTCTTCCTTTTTGTTTTTCTGTTTTTGACTTTGTCTAATCTCAAAAATTTTTCGCGGTTTACACGTTGAATTATGATGGTTGACACTGCTGTTGTTGTACGTATATTTGTCTTTTCTGTCGTGCGTCATGTCGCTACTAGAGAATAGGTGTATGATGATTTGTCGAATTTCTACACATTTATTTACTATTTTATTAATACTACGGTAAACTATGTAAGAGATGTGGTACAATGTGCATCGATTCAATTTCATACACATTGAAAATAGCCTTTAGAGACCAAGAACTAATTAGTGGAAACAATAATTGGAATAAAATAATAGTGAGATAATTACTGTCAATCAGTAGTCGCAAAATTGAATTAGTCGTATGTTCAAAATGAGATGATTATTTTTATTAGCTTCGTGATTCAACGTCTGTTTTAGTTTTACTAGTCTAAATGTTGGCTTCAAAAATATATATGTGTAATAGTGTACACTTGTGGTTGAAATTAGAATAACTGGTGTAAATTGTCGAGTTAGATTCGTTTCAATAAACAGCCACTTAAGTCCTACTAACAGTGGCATTTATTTTTACATATTCGATCATGCTAAGACTCAATCTGGGTGAGTAATGTACCTTACTCGCTAGTCTCTTGTTGATAAATTTCTTAGATATCCATTGTTTTGTATAATGAAGGATTTTCTCTGGCAACTACTTTTAAAATGTAGTTGCTGCAGGATATTTGTGGAGACTGTTGAATTTCATAGTGTACATCACGAACTGACTTCCGTTAGCTCTTGTTAAACAGAAAGAACTGAAGAGTTGTCTCGCCCCGACATGGGATCTCTCAGCCATAAGCTCCAGAAAACCAATCGGTGATCGAATCCAGGACCTTTTAGTCTCGTACACAAACGCCTAACCCATAGACCACCAAGGCAGCATCGAATTACTTATATTTCTAGCTCCAATTAATTTACAATATTGCTTAATTCTTTTCCAATGTCATCGGTAGTGTCTCACTCTCAGCGGAGTTGAAGTCCACTCGTCACGACTCAATAGAACTACAAATTAGTGATGAGTGTAGATTCGTAGACGTTGAATTTTATACTTAATACTGCACAATATACTCAATGTCCGTTGCCTGATTACCATCAGCAACAACCTATTATGCGAAAAAGAAACCAGCTTCCCAATGAGGAGGAAATGATGGAGTTTGATAGAACAAACATTGCGGAAATCAAACTGCATCACGAGGCAAGCGCTAAATTGGGATCCTGAAGGGAAACGGAAAAGGTGGAGGCTGAAGAACACACTGCGTCGAGAATTTGATGCAGACATGAAAATGGTAACTGGGAAAGATTGTCCAGGATATGGTTGGGTAGAGAATGCTGGTGGACAGCCTATGCTCCTACACGAGAGTCAAAAGGCGTAAATAAGTAACTACAAAACATCTTTCTGAGATGAAAATTATGGTGACTCAAACCTGATGTATGTGATATATGTAGTCTAGTGATAGTACACAGCTGGTAATCCAAACTAAATTCTAAAATATTGAGCAGGAAGAATATATTTGTAAAATCTCAGACATTAAATTTCAAGTAAATCCGGATGCACAAGCGAATGCAGCGAAGGTTAAAATCTCAGCTGTATTATTAAATAAAAAACTTAATGCTCCTTAAGTACCGCAAGAAGAAATAGATGCTATAAAACAACTGACAGAAAAATTGTCATTATAACAAGGACACGTATCAATACTGTTGTCTGTCAGCAAAGATCCGAGTAATCATTTCCAGTAGGCAGTAGAACGTCAACAATCATCGACTGAATCATCCTGTAAAGTAAAGTTCATTCAGATTCGACCTTGTTGTCGGTACCTCACAACATGCAGCAGTAGAAATAGGTAATGAACTTTACAGTTTGAGGTTATGGGGATTTTTGAACTGATCAATGTTAGACTTCCATTAATAACCAGGAAGCACTGGACGGCCGTTTCGTCCTAGTACGGAGCTCCTCAGACTTAAGCATCCCTGACTCTGCACCTTGGGTTCCCACCCAGCACCTTTGGTCCGACGCGCGATCGCCTAACTCCTAGACCACTTAGCCGGCATTCAACAGTGTCGATGTCTGACTTTAACCAACCCACAATGTCGCGCGGTCATCTTCCGTTGTCTTCAGTAGATAACTTTTAGATGGTGGATGGAGGTAGTCAACAGGAAACCCTGGACACGGGTTTCGTGCTACTTGGCACTCGTCAACAGTGTGTACCTGTAATCTTGACGAGACAGGTGCTCCCTGGCCGATTCGGTCTCGTGTCACCCAGCCTCACAGTCAGAGACGTTACCACTGAGCCATCCGAGCCGCTCAGTGGTAACGTCTCTGACTATGAGGCTGGGTGACACGAGGTCGAATCTAGTCAACCTGAATAGCAAGTTAATGTAGGTCCTCCGACTCTTTACGAAGTTGAAAAAGCTATAGGAGATCTGAAGTGAGGGAGAGCAGCAGGCCCTGACAGGTTTACTCCTGAGATTTCTTAGGATGGTGGTTCAGTATTAGCAGTGAGTTTAGCTGAGGTCTTAGGTAGAATTTGGGAACTGGACGTAATCCCATCTGACTGGTCTCAATCACTGATTGTGCCAGTCTATAAGAAAGGACAAAAGTCCTCTTGTGACAATCACAGAGGAATCAGTTTGACTAATATAGTGTCTAAAATATTAGCTTCAATAATACTTCGACGCCTAACCAAAGCTCGTCAAGAACCGACTAGAGAAAATCAGGCTGGTTTTCGACCTGAACGTGGTTGTATAGATCAGATATTCACACTACGTCAGGTTCTAGAAAACAGACACGCGTTCAGACGCCCCACAATGGTAGTATTTCTCG